TTTACTATACATTTTGACACAGCAAAATTTGAAAAAATGGATGAGTGGCTAAATCCTGGGTGAAATTCTACATTTTATGGACTATTTTGATGCTGTAAAAGAAGGACATTTAACTCACAGCAAGATCTGAATAAAAATGTTAAACAATTTGATTCAAATCTCACCTGGGGTAAAACTCCAGCAAAATGTGTTTCATTCAAATTTTGCTGACATCTCACCCCATGTGAGATTTGAATCAAAATGTTTCTTCAGATCTTGCTGCTGGTTGAATGGCTTTCTTACAGTGTCAAATAGTTCATAAAATGTAGAAATTCACCCAGGATTTAGCCACTTGTCCAATTTTTTATTTTCACTGTGTCAAAATGTATAGTGAGAATGCTAACTTTGTCACTAACATTTGTAACAAATCTTGCATGGGTGAAAAACTCTCAAACTGCTGGTGTGTGAGTGCATTTGGATGACTTCTCTCATCTTGCATGGAGAGGAATATTGTGATAGGCTTATGACACTCTTTCAGCTATTACGGTAGTTCAATGCCTTATTTGGCAAGTGGAGCAGTCAGGACAAAAAATTCCAAACTCACCAACAGGTAAGCCAAATTCCAAGTTCATTGTGGGGCGAAGTTGAAAACCGAACAATTGTCTAGTATGGGCCGGGGCCGTGCTTTTGAACAGCCTTTGTTGCCTTGGTGCAAACTTGCATTTACTGGTTGACTTCCGCAGCATTGAGAATTCTAGATTTCATTCTAAACCTCAAAATTTGGGAGGCTCGGCCGAGTGGAATATATATCTAGAACTTGTTTCAAAACTGTAGACACAAGTCAAATAAATTTTATAATCTAGTTCTACTTGCTAAACTTTAAACATGGCATACACATCACCAATGAAAACATGCTTTCCCTTGCAAGCTTTGTGTGCAGGCACAGCATACAAAGGCTGCGTGAAGGGTGGCGATGTGACCTGATTTTCGATGGTATTGCCACTGTCATCATCGCCATCTGACAGTTCAGGTAGATTATGCTTGTTGGTTGTACTGTAATCAAGCTGACTGGGCAAGAAAGGAGTTGGACAAGGGCCTGATGGTAGCATGCCATGACCAGGCAGAAGTGAGGGAAATGTGAAGGGTTGACCAGTGGGCTGCATGACAAAAAGTTCGGGGCTTTGTAGGGAGGTTAGAGAGACCAGTACTACATATATTGAATGTAGGTGCACGCAATTAGTGGTTGCTGCGGGTCCGGCTTCTGGACCGGCTTTAGCCATGGGCGGAGCTGTAATTAGCCAAGCCGTGTGATTAGTTATAGCTTACATAATTTATGGCCTGGCCCAGTTAATAACCACATTTACTGTCTCCAAGCCGGCTTCAAGCCAGCTCCCAGATTTAAAATTAGAATATTATATTTTATATATATAGTTTTATGTTTAATTATAAACATCTCAAATTCTAAAAATTGAACAACACATCAATTATCCACCAGTACATACAAACACACTCAACGTCAGATATCGACGATCGTCATGATTGTAAAGCAACATGGGCCCGCAGAATGACATAAGTAAGATTTTCAACTTCAATGAACCAGAAAGCTCACCCGATTTAGCAATATTGTAGTCTCGATCGCGCTCACAAGATTGTAGCGCAACAAAAGATGGCAGCTTCTCAAAGCCATAGAGTAGTGGAGGAGGGGGGCAAGAGTAGTGGGAGATGGGGCCAGAAGCGAACATCGTGGAGGCAGGGAGATGTTGTCAGATGGCCGATGAAAAGGTGGCGGGGTGGCAGTGAAGAACGGTTGGGTCAGGTGCTGAGGAAAGTTCATTTGATGAGGGAAGATGAGCGTAGAGGGAGTTGAGGGAGTAGTGGGGCGAAGCCCCCGCCCTTCGAGGTGTTGGGTCCATAGGGTGCGGGAGTAAGGGCGCTGGATTAGCGAGCGGGGGGCAATGGGGCGCCGTGAGATTGGGGTTGGAAGGTGCAGGGGAGTAGGCGGGCGTCGTCATCGAGACACTGTAGGATACCTACCCGCATGTTGAAGCCAACGTGGTGTGAAGCTTGATGATGTACCATGGAATTGCTTGTGATGTCAATGTTCCGCTCTGCTTTCCACAAGTGAAAGTAAAGGAATGAGTCTGTGCGTATGGTCATTAGTAGTAATAGTAACGACGCTGGGGAGCACTCACCTACTCGTAGCTTCACGAACGCCGTCGTGGAAGTAGAATTTTAGAGCGGGGAGGGAGAGCTCTAGGCTTTGAGTAAGGTATGGTGCGAACTGGCCTCTGAGGGTTGCGCAATAGACAACGAGAGTGTCGAACGCTTGGCATTTCTCGTCGATGGTTGAAGTACAGATACCAACGATCTGACCGTCCATCGAGGTAGTCTCCCAGCCTTCTCACGCCTTGCCGATGTCTTCTTTGTCATCTGTGGGCAAGGTAAGCACGTACCGTGACCCAAATGATTGAACTTACCGTAGATAGAAACATCAGCTTTTGTGCTGGCCGCGTTCAGCAGTGGGGGCATGACCACAGGAAGGAACAGCTCCAACGGCCATTGCTGACACAGATCAGTCAAGGAAACTAGCGTCAATGATAATCTCTTACCTATTAAACCAGCACATTCCATGGCTTTTGCGCGCAGCTTGTAATGGTCAGAACTGTTGGCATTACGGAGAACATTCAAAGGAGAGGCATTATCAAAGTATAATGCTATTATATGTGGAGTCAGATCAATAAGAAACATGCGAGACTGTAATTACAACGGAGTTGAAGCGCTCACGGAGTGCAGGGAAACATCTGAAGGCTTGCTGTATGGTCCCATTAGCACATCATTGCAATCTTGGGTCGCGTGAATATGTACGATCTTCTGTAGCAGTTGTCCAAGAATGCGAATGAGTTTGTCATATATGAGCTGGCAGCATTTCACACTTGGCTCTTCTAGTTGCTTGATCTGTTGCTTGACGATAATTTCAAAGGCTTGTGAGCCAACAAAAAGTGATGGTGGTTTGACCCTGCATTGCGAGAGAGTTTTAAGCAACAGTCTCTGTGTTACACAAGTAACAGACCCACTGAAGGATTGTACAAGATAGTTTGGATATCTCCATCCTTGACCTGATCGAAAGGGTCGATGCCCTTCATACCATTGTTGAACAGTTCATGGAAGATGAAGCTGATTACGGGCACCACCGCTCAACTCATTCAGCAAGAGGTCATTGGTGTTACCATCAATGACTGTCCAGAATTCATTTTGTGAACTCTGTTATGACTGAAAGGACTACGTTGCCAAAGGATGCGTTGTAGAGACGCACATTTCTCCAGGCTCATATGGGCCAAATTCACAGCTTTTCACGACGCACTCGATATCCTTATAACGCGCTTCTCATACGACTTCCGCGCAACGCGCGCTTTGGCGCGTACCAGCACATTCGAGTGTGTTATGGTGCACTTCGTCGCATTTCCTTAGGATCCGTCGCCTGTCCTCCGCATGTCCTGTCCTAGTCCTCCAAGGTCCATTGGTGCATTTTCCCTTCTTCAGAACTCATACTCCGTCACGCAGGCACTAGTACTTATCATCATATCTCGTTATGGACCCTGACTTACCTCACCATTTACCTTAGTACTTCCTATTCGGCTCCGAGCCGTGGGAACTCGCTGTAGCATACCTACATGTCACCATGTTTGTTTTCCTGTCACTTACTTCCGCTCCACTACCATCGAAGTGTATAGCTTGAGTTTCTATCTGAATACACCGGTTTTCCTTCCTATTGGCGCTTTGACACCTTTAAGTGTCTATTTCTACATCTATCAAAGTCCTGATTCCCCCATTTGATTGTCATCTCTACTCAAAGCACTCCGTTGTGATCGCACGAAGTGCGCTTTTCCGCACTTTCCGCCCTATTAGCGCATTTAGGCGCCTTTAACTAGCGCACTTCGCTTTTGGGTGCATTATTTGCCTCAGTGTCCCATTCAGGCTTCGAGACCGAACCACTGGTTATAGATCCCCCTCATCTTTCACTAGAGGAATCTTTCTCAGTAGCAATCCCCTTGGGACGACTTTCCACTCATATCCAGAGGAGCACTTGAGAGCCCACTTCCCACTCTTCCCCCTAGCACGCAGCTATCATTCCTCGCCCTCAGCGTCACCCATAGGACCGCCCAGGGTAGCCAGCTCAGCAGTGTATTTTTGAAGCTGCTGGCTAATACGGGCCTTGATGTCAGGCAGAGTGGCACGAATGTGCTGCATCAGAATCTAAAACAGAAGGAAGGTCTTAGTGACACATGGAGAGTGATCGAGGCACGCACCATGTTTAGCTTACGGGCAAAGAAAGGTGTCCCACTGTCTTACTACTTGAGGGTCTTATATGTTTTCGTGTAAAATGCAGTGACACCACAACTACACTTAGATAAGACAAAAGCTGCCAACTCCTCAAGTACACAGTCAACGGATTTTCTACTTCTCTGTTGATAATGTGGTGTTCGTTGGAGGCAAGACTATACAGTTGGTTGTTTGGCTGAAGCAATGGATACGATAGACTAGATAGGTAGTGACTTGGGATAGGTAAATCCTCAGAATATCACTGACAGACTTGATTTGACTTGATGTACAATATGTTAAGACCGTACTCAAGTAGTATCGGATCCGAAGGGCTTCGGCCTCAGCTCGTGCGCTGTGCCCCTTTCCCGAGTCTTGCCCCTTATTTCAGAGAGCTAAAGTATCGCGTCTAGTGAAACGGATAAGTATTGCAATGGATCCGTTAAGACTTCCGGATATCGAACGTATAGAGTAACGGCCAATCCGGATCGGATCCAGACTAGAAACTAACGGGTGAGGACTGTCCGAAGACAGAGGCGGATATGTAGACTATAGGAATCTATCCTAAGTCTCGGAGTAGACAAGAGTAGCGTACTCAAGTCCGGATGGATAACGGAGGGACTCAGAGTCCAGACGGAATGAGTGCAATCTAAGATGATATTCGAACTGATCTACTACAGCGCATATACAAAGGTTTATATACTACGGATAGCTAACGGAATGATCAATAAGCAAAGGTGCGAGGCTATGTACGAAAGTATAAGCAAAGTCTAAGTGGAGTGTATTGGTAAGTTGGATGGATCACGAATCATGAACCGGGAATGAAGTACAAGTAAAAGCGGATTCGTAAGTGTAGCGGATCAGTAAGCATAGCGGAAGTAAAGGATAACCGGTATACCGGTGTACAGGAATACCGAAAGGAGATGAACGATAGTTAGAGTTATATGAACAGGAAATGAAATAAGAATCAAAGCGGATCTGTGGACCGGACGATGGATATGTTCATCGGATCTGGATCGGATCTGAGATCCAGATCATCGGATCTGAGATCCAGATCATCGGATCTGTAACCGGATATATGGTATATGACACAATATATAGATGGTCAAGTATTTGACTTGATACGGTGTAGAGGCTCGCGCCCCTACAGGCACACTTCTAGCGTTTTCCCTCACTCCCTATAGCCACCCTCACATTGTTAAGGGCAAAAGCGCCTCACAGCCGCACTGCACTGCAGGCGCTTTTGCGTGCGCATATGCGGCCGCTCGTGCTCGCGCGCCGGATCCCTTCGCTTGTCCTCCGCACGTCCTATCCATGTCCTCCCCAGTCCATTGGTGCATATTTTCCTTTGTTTGAGTCACGCTGATGATATTCCCGCGCTGTATGACATTCTTCGCGTTATGGACCCTTACTTACGTGCCGTTACACACCATACGTACTTGCTTGCTCGGCTCCGCTCCATGGGAAAGCGCTTAGCGGTACTTCCACGTTAGAATTAGTTTTTTGGATACTTACTTCCGTTCCACGAGCATCACAGTCCATAGCCCCATTTACACTTTGAATCTACTCGAGTTTTCTGAGCCGCATCAGTCATTTTCAGCGCGTGTCCTATATTTGGCAGCCGCACCTGCAAGTGCTAGTACTCTTTCCTCCTTAACAGCGCTAACCGCTTCTAGTGAAATCCCTCCTAAGTCCATAGACACGCGAGGAAGTGCAACCTTAACAGCAGAAGCTTGGCCAATCAAGCAAGAAAATATCAGCGCTCTACCCGCGCAGAAGCCGATCAAATCGAGAAAAGCAGCTATCGTCCAATCCAATCCAGTCTCGCTACCGCAACCGCAACCGCCGGTCATAATAGTTCCCTCTTCCCTTACCATCTTACCCACTAATCCACCACTAGCAAACATGGCAGCAGTACCCTTCAGAATGCCCGGCCGTGGCACTGATAAGGCGCCCAAGTTCGATGGCAAAGATGAAAGCCTATTGATTTTCATAGATGATTACGAAGATTTAGCTGATCAGGCAGGTTTGGCGGGTGCAGACCACATCAAAGGCCTCATAAAATATGTGCCTACTAAGGATAGGAACCTTTGGGCTGGCATTCCCGAGGCTAGCCAGGGCAACTATGATGCCTTTATTGTTGTGGTCAAGGATATGTACCCAGGATGCGAAAGCGATAAGCACTTCACAGTAACTGACCTGCAGACGGTCACACGCAATCAGAGCTGCGCACCGATGATGAGCATAGAAGCGGAAGGAGAGTATTACCGCGAGTTCACCAAGGTTGCGCAGCCGCTCGTAGCGAAAGATCGTGTTGGTAAGGCAGAGATGAATCGGCTCTTCTTAGAAGGATTCCCCACAGATGTACAACAACAGATCCGCACCTGCATGATGATCAAGTTTCCAGACCACCACCCAGACGATCCTTACCCTATCAAGGACATGCGCTTGGCAGCGCACTTCTTGCTCCCAGGTATCATGTCAGTGGCCGCACTACCAGCAGGCATGCAAACTACGTCGCCCTCACCTCAGACTGGAAATGTGCAGGCGCTGGCCTACCAAAAACCTGCGGCTGGAGCGGTCGTCAAGCAAGAATACCAGGCCACCCGTAGTGGCGGCTATGCAGCTCAAGGGTGTATGTTTTGCGGAAGCGGCGAACACTTCCTTAGCCGCTGTCGTGAAAAGACGGCGTACATAGACGTGGGGAAGTGTAAGGTAAGCGAACAGAACAAGTTAGTGTTGCCAAGCAGTAGATGGATTCCAAGAAGGCCGCAAGAAGGAACACTGAAAGAGCAACTTGACCGCCATATTGCTACTCAGCAGGTGGACAAGGCACTCCTGAGTTCGAGCGTAATGGCAGGTATCTTTGTGTGTCCTGACCCAGAAGTCGACGCCATAATGGAAGTCAATTTGTCCGCATTTGTGCACACTATCACGGACACAGATTCAGAGGTGGACGAAGACGATCTCGAAGTGTTGCGTGCCACGCAGGCGCTAGCACTAGCGACCGCTAAACGCGATCAGAAGAAGGGGAATGGATCGTATGTCCCTGTAGGTAAGACAGTGCGCTTCGGTGGCGTTGAGCTAGGCAGCGAGACTCGCGCGCGTCCAGGACTCGCGTCTGGACAAGCCACTGATACAGTAGAGATAATCTCTCCAGCCATACAAGCTTCGTCAGGCAAAGGCAAGGCGCCGGAGGGAACAAAGGCCGCGACCGCTCCTTCAACGTCGGCCGCTAAACCAAAGGAGTTGGCCAAAGTAACCGATCAGGCATCATCATCTGCTAATGTACCCGCCGCATCGGCCTCATCAGGCCCATATAGGTATTCCTTCGCGCTAGAAGACAAAGAAGCAGACAAGCGCATCATAGAGTGCCTCCTTGACAGCAGCATCAATATTCCCGTGCGCGAACTATTGGCTGTGTCGCCAGACGTCCGCAAGCAGTTCCGTGACCTAACGACCACCAAGCGCGTCACAGTGGGCACAGTGTCGGTCAACGAACTGTCTAGTCAGGAAATGATGGAAGAATTCATCCAGGCATTCGACCAAGAGCGGCTGCGCAGCAACAACGGCAAAGTAGTCGCCAACCATTTCGCGCCATTGCACTGCATTCGCGCAGCCACGATCGGGGGACGGGTCCTCACCTGTGTCCTCGATCAAGGCGCCGAGGTAGTAGTGATGCCAAAGGAAGTCTGGAGATCACTAGGTGTAGGTTTGCGCGCAGACCATTGCCTCAACATGGAATTGGTCAATACATCCAAAGATTCGACCTTAGGTGTAGTGGAGAATGTGCCGCTCGATTTTGGCGCCAGACCAATGTACTTCCAAGTACAGGTCACCGAGCGCGCGAACTTCGAAATTTTATTAGGGCACCCCTTCTTCAAGCTCACCGCCTGCTGCACGTTCGATCTTCCAAATGGCGAACAAGATATCCTGCTAACAGACCCTAATACGCGCAAAGAGCTACGCCTTCCCACCCAGTGATGGGTGAAGCGCTGCAGCCACTGCATGAGCGGGCTCCCCTGTCCACAACATGCGCCAAAGCCGTGCAAAGTGGAAGAGCAGGGTTTTTAGATATTGATGATCTGCAGAATTCGCGGGGAGACACCTATCGGTCTTATATTACCCCGCCTTGGTACATGTTTCCATCCCGCAAGGACGCTCAATCCTTTCCTTATTCCAAAGCGCGCGCAGAAGTTTCCCGTTCACCACTCTTAAGGAGCAACATCGCATCACTTTCTGTGTTCTCGCATAGTTTAATTTCTTCATCCGATCCTATCACCCCTTTTCGTTATCACCGCAATATTCAGCGCATTATGCACATCTGACCTCAACCCGTCCCATTCTAGATAAGGCGGCTATAGCTGCTTTCACATCTGTGGATTCTTATGATCGCATGCGCCATGCGCTGGTCTATAAGCCAGTCGCGAAGAAAGTGCGCACAGTGCCTACCACTATGCCGCCAGAGTATAGGGTAGTGCACCAGTTACCCGCAGATCCATTGGCTGGCATGCCAGAACTGCCAACACACCCCCCAGAATTTCTCCCAGGTGCCCGCTTCACGCGCGAGCATGCCGAAAAGCTCGACTTAGATCCTGCGAAGTGGCTATGGCCAGAAGAGCTTAAGCTTATCCACTGGCTCGTGCACGCGCATGAGCTCGCGTTTGCATGGGGCGCCTCTGAATGCGGCCGCCTCAACGAGAAGTATTTTCCGCCCTATAAGATTCCGACTGTACCACACACCCCCTGGTCGCAGCAGAATATCCCTATTCCACCCGCAATGCTTGGCGAAGTAATATGCATTATTAAGGAGAAAATCACATCAGGAGTGTACGAGCCGTCGACAGCTGCCTACTGCTCGCACTGGTTCTGTGTCGTCAAGAAGGACGGCAAATCATTACGCTTAGTTCACGACTTGCAGCCGCTTAACGCGGTTACTATTTGTGATGCTTCGGTGCCGCCCTTTGTCGAGCACCTAGCGGAATCATTCGCAGGATACGCAGTATACGGTATGATGGATTTGTATTCAGGGTATGATCAGCGAGCGCTTCATGAAGAATCATGCAACATGACTACCTTTGGGACACCTTTAGGCCCTCATCGGTTGACAATGCTGCCGCAAGGACACGCTAACACCATACAGGTTTACCAAGGCGATACGGCCTTTATCCTCCAGCATGAGATCCCAGATTATATGTCGCCCTTTGTAGATGATGTGCCCGTCAAATCAGTGAAGACGCGCTATCAGCGCGAAGATGGCTCTTATGAGACCATACCTGCCAACAATGGAATCCGCCGCTTCATATGGGAACACTGCATCGTGCTTAATTGCATCTTGCAGCGCTTGGAAAATGTTGGCATGACCATATCCGCCACCAAGTTTGTTCTAGCCACACCAACAGTGATCATCGTCAGCCACCTTTGCACATTCGAGGGCCACATACCAGAAGATTCAAAAGTGCAGAAGATCTGAGACTGGCCAGAACCCAAGACCGCATCGCATGTACACGGTTCTTAGGCACATGCGGTGTCTTGCGCATTTTTATCCATAATTTCTCGTGCATTGCGCGGCCGCTGATTAACCTTACCAGGAAAGATGCGCCCTTCGAATTTGGACCAGAGCATGGGAAGCAATGCAAACACTGAAGGACTCGATATTAGAGTCCCCCGCACTGCGATGGCTGGATTATGAATGCGGCCGCGAAGTTATCCTAGCAGTAGATACGTCGGTCATTGTGGTTGGGTTTATCCTGCTGCAGAAAGGCGAAGACGGCAAGCGCTACCCAAACCGCTTCGGCTCAATTGCGCTGAACAAGGTAGAGAGCCGCTATTCTCAGGTGAAGCTAGAGCTCTATGGACTCTTTCGCGTGCTGTGCGCCGTGCACGTCTACATATTTGGCGTCATGAACCTTACAGTGGAGGTCGACGTGAAGTACAGTGGCTCAAAAAACTGTCCGCATGTTTTGACATTTTTCACTATCTATGATATTGTGTGAGAATGAACAAATTCCTCAAGGACATACTTATACCACATTGTAGTATGGCTTCAGGGCTTTTATTTGAGCCCTACACCGTGGGAATCGGCGGAGATATGGTGGAGATATAAGGCTTATAAAATGATGACTCATGTGGACAGTTTTTTGAGTGTATATTAAAACTATATAAATCATTATTTATGACACCATAAAAATCATGCCACTATTATATAAATTATAAAGTGGTGTCATTATGTTATTTTATGACTATATCTAACTATATAAACCAGAATATCTCATGTATCATAGTCATAATCACCATGAAAGCCATCTCCTCTGCTCAAAGAGATAATATCCTCTCTCTGTCTTATGCTGGCCTCTCTGCTCGCCAAATTTCCTCTAGAACTGGAATATGCAAGTCCACTGTGGCCAAGTTCATCAAAGAAAGCCACCCAGACAAGGAAAACTCTTGTGGAGGACGTCCATCCAAGCTTACCTCTACTGACAAAAGGGCTATTATCCAACATATCACTACAGGAAAGGCTGATAATGCTGTCCAAGCCACCCATTATATCAATTCCACCATCACTACCCCTGTCTCTTCACAAACTGTGAGGAATGTTCTCAAGGCAGCTCATCTCAAGGCAGTAACAAAGAAGAAAAAGCCTCTTCTCTCCATCAAACATAGGCAGAGAAGACTAGCCTTTGCCTTAGCTCATCAACACTGGACTGTAGAGGACTGGAAGCATGTTATATGGTCAGATGAGACCAAAATCAATAGGATTGGGTCAGATGGGAAGGTTAATGGGACTGTCAAGTTTGGAGGAGGTTCTTTAATGGTATGGGGCTGTATGGGATGGAATGGTGTGGGAATGCTTGCTGAGGTTGAGGGGAAGATGAATGCTGAGCAGTATGTGGACATTTTAAATGACCACTTGCTGCCTAGCTTGGCAGAATCAGGGATTGATGAAGAAGATATCATTTTCCAACAGGATAATGATCCCAAGCACACATCCAGAAGAGCTAGGGAATGGTTTGAAGAACATAACATCAATGTTCTTGACTGGCCAGCACAGTCTCCTGATGTCAATGTCATTGAACATCTCTGGGGAACACTCAAGAAAAAGCTTCAAGCCTATGAAAACCCCCCTAAAGGAGTATGGGAGCTTTGGGAGAGAGTAGCAGTGGAATGGGGGAAGATCACAGCTGAGGATTGCCAGAAATTAATTGAGAGTATGCCTAGAAGGATAGAGGCAGTAATTAAAGCCAAGGGAGGTCATACAAAATACTAGAATACCTGGTTATTACTGTAAAATACTTGAGTCAAAAAACTGTCCGCATGAGTCACCATTTTGTGAGCCTTGTATCTCCACCATATCTCCACCGATTCCCACGGTGTAGGGCTCAAATGAAAGCCCTGAAGCCATACTACAATGTGGTATAAGCATGTTGTTGAGGCATTTGTTTGTTCTCACACAATATTATAGATAGTGAAAAATGCCAAAACATACGGACGGTTTTTTGAGCCACTGTATGTGGCTGCTCACACTCGCACGCCGGATCCCATCGCTTGTCCTCCGCACGTCCTACCCATGTCCTCCCCGGTCCATTGGTGTGTATTTTCCCTTGGTTGAGTCACGCTGATGATATTCCTGCGCCAGTACGACATTCTTCGCATTACGGGCCCTTACTTACGTGCCGTTACACACCATATGTACTCGCTTGCTCGGCTCCGCTCCATGGGAAAGCGCTTAGAGGTACTTCCATGTTATAATGAGTTTTTGATACTTACTTCTGTTCCACGAGCATCGCAGTCCATAGCCCCAGTTACACTTTGAATCCACTCGAGTTTTCTGAGCCGCTGACACGCACGAAACCTGTTTCGTACATGGTCATGGTAAATTTATGACACATGCTAGTCCTTACTATAGCCTATACACTTCCCCTGAATTTTCTATACCTTACTTCAATTTACTTTAGACATTTCTGAGCATGTATCATCAAGATACGACTTAGCGGTTCAAACTAAATACTTAACATACCCTTTATCCTTTCTATAATTCTTTATTTTATTTACCCTATGCCAAACATATGTACACACACATTCTATGCACACTTTATTTACATCTATGTACTCAAGGCAGTGGGGCCAACCAAACCAA